GAGTGGGGGCTGGCCAACCTGCCACAGCCAGGGCTTCTCTCTCCTGCTCCACCTGCCGCAGTGGCACTAACCCCAGTAGCCTGCAGGCTGTCCTTCAATCTGCCCGAAGGACTGTTCAAATGAGATTTTTCAATAGTAAATGTATGAAATGCATATAATTACAAATTCCCACCATACCAAAGGGCACAGAGTGAAAAGTCTCTCACCTGCTCCAAGCCCTCATCCCCTTCCCCAGAAGCAGCCACTCTTACCGGGCTATGAGTATCCTCCCAGAAAGATTAAAGACTTCTCTTGGAAATGTTCTCTCTTTTTTTCTTCTGGGTTAGTTTGAATCTTAACTTTAACAACTCCTCTTTTCTGACCTCAAGTTTAACCATACACAAAGTAGCGAAAATAGTATAGTGAACCTCCAAGACCCCATCACACAACCTCAATAATTTTCAACATTTGGCCAATGTTATTTCATCTAACCTTGTTACTATAATTTTCTGGGGGAGGAAAAATCCTAGGCATCATCACATTTCATCTATAAATATTTCCCTATGCATCTCTAACTGATAAAGACCCTTTTTAGAAACATAATAACCGTGCTATTATCATACCTAACAAATATAGCAAAGTCCTTAGTATCATCTGATCCCCACTGACTGATTTTGAATCCTACTGATCTACAAACTGCATGCAACTTGCCCTGCCTGGATTTCTAACGTGGGCTTCCTGTTTAGCCTGAGATGTTCAGAGGGTTGGAGACTCGGGCCACAGCAGCCTGAAGCCTGTCCATCCTCCCCTTGGTTGTTCTTGCTCAGGCCAGAGGCTCTCTGTTCAAACATTCTTTGGGAGCAGAACAATCTTCCAAGCAACTTCCAAGCAATGTGAGTCTTGAGAGAGGCGTTCTCTAGAGGTGGCTCTGTCCCTTGCCTGCTGGGTGGCATTGGGGAAGCTGCCTCTGTATCCCATCAGTGAAATGGAACACATGACATGGGTCCTCATGAGTTAGGTGGATATTTGACAACCAAGGAGAGTAGTATTATTTCTGCTGTGTTCAGATCATATCAAACATGCAGCCTCTCTGCAGGGACCACCATGCCAAAGCTGGCTGAATTTTCACATCGATGGAGGTGGATTATGTGGAAAACCGATTTCTCCACGTTGCTAGTAGCTATTTGGTGCTCCCCAGGCACTCCTTTCCTGAGCTTATTCATCTGATTATTTTGGCTCCAGGCCATTATTCACTCTATCCACAAGCCATGGGCATCTCCCTTTCGCAAATACACATCCAACTCATCCTCTGCCCCCATCCATTGTTGCACTGCTCCTGAATCTTCAGGAGAGGAAGAAGAGCACCCTCCACTTACCCCACCCCATGCCAGCTCAAAGTATGTGACATCTCTGGCTCTCAGCCTTCAGTTCTCTTGGCCAGAAAGGCAAGGCTAAGCCAATTGGCATGAAGTTGGGTGTGGAAAGTTCTAGCCACAAGTACATAAGATGTAAGATACTGCCTGCCAGCCAGCCAGCCTTCTGTGCCAGGGCTAGAAAAGCTGTAGGAAGCCACTTGCCTTCCTAAATTTTGTCTTGGAGGACATTATCTTGGGAAGAAGAAGCAAAGCCTCAGTTCCAGAAGCCACAATGCTAACAGGTGACCCCAGGCTTTCACTGGTATTGTGCCTTCTCTGTTCCCCTTTATGATCTTCTACATGGACATGGAGAAGTAGACCACCAGATTGGGCACTTGAGCCCTTATTTAGTTTCCTGGGAGAAATTCCTGAGTTTCAGAGTTCCTGAGTTTCAGAGTTCAGTCTATACAATGGAGCAAAAAGAACCCACTTGCCTAGTGGCCTTCAAGAATCTGGTACTATGGGATCACACAGCAGAGAGTGGAGGTCATATCCAAGTGTTTTGGAGTTATTTGCAAGAAAGCTGCACAACCAAAGCAAGCTATGATCAAGGGGGTCCAGATCCTCTGAGGTACCATCAGAATTGCATGAAGCGGGGCTGGCCCCGTGGCTTAGCCATTAAGTGCGCGTGCTCCACTACTGGCGGCCCGGGTTCGGATCCCAGGCGCGTACCGACACACCACTTGTCTGGCCATGCTGAGGCGGCGTCCCACATACAGCAACTAGAAGGATGTGCAACTATGACATACAACTCTCTACTGGGGCTTTGGGGAGAAAAAGGGAAAAAAAGGAGGAGGATTGGCAATAGATGTTAGCTCAGGGCCAGTCTTTCTCAGCAAAAAGAGGAGGATTGGCATGGATGTTAGCTCAGGGCTGATCTTCATCACAAAAAAAAAAAAAAAGAATTGCATGAAGCAAACTGTTTACTAGTTTCATACAATCCTGGATTGTTCCCACAGGCACCCAGTGCAGGCAGCAGGCTGCCACCAAGAAGGCTGGTGGTGCCCTCTTGAGGAATCCCTAGGCACTGCCAGGGATCCAGCTGGACTTGAACATTTTGCCAAGGGCACCCAGCAGAACCATTGGAAGCAGAATCACAGAAATAGGTGAGGGTGGATGGATAAAAAAGGCCCCTTGGGGACCTGGAAAGAGACCCTGTGAGGGCTGTGGGGAGGGCTCAAGAGAAGGGGGGTGAATGGGTGCTGAGGCAGAGTGTCAGGGTGTCCAGAGTGACTACAATACACTAGATCCTGAGGAGCTGGGAACCTTAAGGCACTGGGGATAGTGAACATGACACAGTCATCTGACCGAGGTGACTGTCCCTTTCCTGGGCATAAGAACAAGGTGGAGACAAGAAGACATGCTCCATCAAGGAGTGTGGAGAGAGAAAAAGAAAGAAAGCGAGACGGGGATACAGAGCCACAGAGAGAAACAGACATAGAAACAGAGAGAGAGATTGAGACTTGGAGAGAAGACAAAATGAACAGTAAGGCAGTAGAGATGGAGGAAAGGAGAAGAGAAATGTGTGTTAGGGAAATGTGGTTGAAAAATTTGTATCTGTGAGTTTATGGGGAACACATCTTTTCTTCCGAGTAGCCTGGCAGTCCCCAGAGCTACTGCTGAGAATCCAAGGGCAGATTTGTGAGAGGGCTCAGCCTGAGCGATTTCTCCTGCATGCAGAGCTGTGAAAAACCATCTCTCTCATCCCCTAAATCAGAACTCCCAAGGTTTGGACTCAGTTCCTTCTGCCATCTGAGGAACTGAGGGCACATATTTGGTGACTTCTTGCTTTTGGTCCTCCCTCTCCTGAGAGGGACAACCACCATCCAGAAGTTAATAGTTGGCACAATCCCACAACTCAACTTCCTCAGCAGGCAGAATCTATGGCTGGAGAGCAGTGCTGGCGAGGTAAGGAGTCCTGGGCCCCTCTACCATCAGTCATATGGCCTTAGTCTGGTCAGTGCTGGAAAGCTATATGGTTCTGCAAAAGGGGCAGCATTTACAGGGATCCTTTCTCTTTGGGGCTGGTGTAAAAGCAAAGGATCTAGAGTTCTAGGACTCTTGACAAGCCTCAAATACTGCAGGACTCAGGACCCGAGTGGACCCACAGGGGCGTCTGCAGAGGACTCACGTATTTCCTAACAGCTAGAAATGTGTCCAAGGTCACAGCCCATAGAGAAAATTGCAAGATATAATCTTGCCTCTCTCCCCTCACAGGAAGATTCTAGGCTCTGCTCAGTACCTCCTTTCTCTCCTCTCTGATCTCAAGGCAAAGCCATAGGAAAAACTTTGGAGGGCCATACCTTCCTTCCCTGGAGTCTTCCAACAGGTACTCCTCCAGTTATTTGCCAACCAGTTTCCTTACAGGCAACCACATCCTCTCATGGATGAGAGGATGTGGGCCTCAAAGTCAAGAGAGTTGCATCTCTCTGAGGCTCCTAAAGGGATAGAGAACACTGACAAGGAGCCTAGATAGATACTGATTAAGATTCACCTCTTCTAGAAAACATTGCCAGGCTAATCCCACCTAGTACTGGGCACTCAAATACCTTTGCAGTCTTTAGAAATAACTATTATTGCTAAGGCAGTTTTCATACATTATGCCCCTGTTTTTGCTGCTTGGCCATTTTAGTCTTAGTGTTTTTGTCTCTGAGGCAAGGACTATATTTCCTTTTCCCTTCTCTCCACCCTCATTGGCATCTGCTGCTTCACCCCAACCCACTCCCTGCCTCTCACCAGCCTGTCCTCAGCTCTCTAATGACACTACATTCTCAGGATGGGATATTGACTACCTGATTCCCAGATCGTGTTCTTGACTTGTCTCAAAGTCAATTACCCTCCTTGGAAATCCCCCACATCCCTAACTCTGACCTTTTCTTTAGGCTATTCTGTGAACCTGCACAGGTCTTGCCTCCTTTCTGGGTCTCTGTTATCTTATCTATAAAATTATTACAATTGTAGCCTCTCCCAGCTTGGTCACAATCTGTTCGTGGAATCAACAGCTTGCGTTTTGTCTTCATTCAGTGGAAACCAAGATGGATTTGGAGGAAATTATTTTAAAAAACAATTTTTTCTTCTCTAGTGTGTTTCTAGAGCTGGGGCAGGGGAGGGGTGCTTATTTGCCAAGGGGTGGAGGGAGGGGAAACGTGGACAAGACCAAGGGCAGCTAGGAGTGAGGGGTGGGATTGGGGCAGAGTTGGAAGGACTCTGGGAGATAGCAGCAAGGTTTTTGACCCTGACCCTCTCGCCAGGGCTACCACTTCCATGGCTTCTGACACTTGTGCTGCCACATCCCACACCAAATAGACCCAAGGATCAGTTGGAGGCTTCCAGGACCTCTTTTTATTTCCATCCCCAAACCACATTTCCAGATGTCTCTGCAGCAAAGTGAAACTCCATACAGGCAAGCCTTAGGGGAAAAAAAAAAGAAAAAAGAAAATGAAACAATTGGCAGTGAAAGAAAGAGAAGATAGAGTCCTTAGAGAAGGGAGTATCCCTGAGGAGGTGGAGACAAGAGGAGGAGAAGGGGAGGAGGAGAGGAGGAGGAAAGCGGGCCTGTCCCTTTAAGGGGGTTGGCTGTCAATCAGAAAGCCCTTTTCATTGCAGGAGAAGAGGACAAAGATACTCAGAGAGAAAAAGTAAAGGACTGAAGAAGGAGACTGGAGAGACCAGGATCCTTCCAGCTGAACCAAGTCAGCCGCAAAGCAGACTAGCCAGCCGGCTACAATTGGAGTCCGAGTCCCAAAGACATGGGTGAGTTGCAAAAACTTTAGCATGGAAGATTCAAGCAGGCACAAGAATTTGCAAGAGGATTTCCAACTTTGGGGTTCGGAGTTTCCAATGGTTTAAATGAGTTGCGTTTTGGCACTTTTTTTTTTTAATTCCTTAGCACCCAATTAGATTAACTCCTTCTCTGCTGTACTGAGAATGATGCTTTATTGCCAAAGAACTCCAGCAGCACGTGGGGAGTCCCACAGATCCTTGGAGAGAATGCCCCGTGGGCTGCATGCGGTCATGTGTCCTCCTACCCCCTCACTTCCCTCTACCTTCTCTTTTCCCCTGGTTCCCAGGCCCTGGTAATGGCCAGGTCAGCTGATGTCCCTGGTTCTGCTGGAGGCAACTGAGTGTTCGCTAGCCTTCAGATGTACAAAATAACTGCTTGCTTAATACAAAATTTGGACCCTGTTTGGCATCAGAAGGAAATTGGGGAATTGGGCTAGATGGACTCAGGCTTGGCCATGGCTGAGGAGGCCAATCTCAGGTTCAAGAAATGAAAATAAAGTCCTCAATGGCTTTACCATGGGGAACGGATATGGGTAGGGGGGTGCGTGTGTGTATGTGTATGTGCACGTGTATAAGTGATCATTTCTTGCAAATATCAGACTTAGCTTTCCCGAGGACATGGCTCAGACTCTAAATCCCTGCTATGACAGGAGGCTGCTGGAACCTTAGGGCTCTTGCTGACTCAGTTGAGTATTGAGGGCTTCTCCAGGTTTCATGAACAGAGAGAAGCTATGAGGTCTGGTCTCTAGTAGTGTCTACTCAGAGCAAGGTGTGCAGAGCACGAGGGTCTTTGTCCACACAGGATGCCACAGAGATGTGTAGACATTGCTCACATTTGGCAAAACAAGGGTAACAGTTTGAACGCATCCTAAATGAAGTGAGAATCAATTGCCCCGTGTATTCACCACCAAATGTAGCACCTAGAAAATTCCAACAACATCCACAGAAATAGGCTCTCAGTTATAATAAGCTGGTGTCACCCTTTAAGTTGTTTCATTCTGAAACACATACATGTTCTTTGAAGCATGTATTCAGGTAGAATAATTAAGAGGGCAGAGCATGGACTAGAAATCAACACAACTAGGTTCGAATCCCAGATCTGCCAAGGTCATGAACTTCCTGACCTTGGGTTGGTCACTGTGAATTATCACTTCATCATCGGGAAAATGGGGATAACCATAACTGCTTCGTCTACTTTCAGGGTTGTGAAAATCAAGTAATAATGATGTGGAAGTCGTTTGAAAATGGACAAGCTCTATAACAATTGTAAATCATGATAATACTGATTATTCAACAATAATGCGTGTACAGGCTGGATCTTACACTTTCCAAAGTGGTTGGGCTTTCTTTGTGTGCACTTTTTGCACTTGGCTAAGAATCATTTGAACAATTGAGTGTGGTCAGGTGAGAGGTGAATGTTGGAGGAACTCAATTCCTGCTTTAGGTAATATCAGGAACGTTTCCTAATGTCAGGGCAGCTGATTAAGTAGGTTGTGAATTGAAAACGGAGAGGGAGTAAAGAAAGATGTTGAATATTACTTTCGCAGGGGATGAAAGCCCTGAGGAAAAGGCAGGAACAAATAAGGTGACCACAGGGAAGTCCCCTGGGGGTGGGTGATACTTGGGCCGGGTGCACATGATGGAGTAGCCACTGAGTTTTCAGTTATTTGATAACTATCTCAAATGCTTTGTAAATAATAGGCCATTTCTAACAAGATACTGACCTGTTAATCCTTCTGCTGTGGAGAGTGCTGCTGTTGAACAATTCTGGTAGACAAATTAGATCACAGAATCTGAGATTGGAAGGAACTTTAGAAGCTGTCTGAGCCAACTCTCAATGCAGGAATCCCTTCTGCAACAGCCAATTAAACATTCCTACAGTCTCTGCTTGATCACCTCCAGGAATAGGGAGCTCACTACCTCAACCATGTAGAATCTCATAGGTTTGGAAGTGAAGAGGAACCCTGAATTCAGTAGTGTCTATGCAAAAGGTTTATGAGGGAAATGATAGTTCATTAAACCGTGTGCTGACTTGGGAGAGGGATGTTTCAAATGAGTCTTTGGGATAACAATGGAACCGGAAAAGAGCCAAAGAGCAGTAGCTGATTATTCTCTGCTCAGTAACACAATGCCATTACTGAACAACAAAACATTGGCTCCCTCAAGCCTGTTGTCTGAGAACACTGGCTTTTACCCTGGTAACCAGACTATGATGCTTCCCTCCAAACGTGGCTGTTTGCCGAGCAGTGTAGTTTTGGCTGGCTCAGAGTAAGTGGGGGTAGCCCAGGCCAAAAGTGTGGAGGCAGAGCAGGGGTCCAGTTTTACAAAATGCCTGAAAACTAACTGAATCCCACCATGATGACAAGAATCCTGCAAGAATGCCAGGAGCTAAAAAGAAACCAGATCCAAACCAGCATATTCACTTACTCTCTGCCTAGAGACGCTGACTGAAATGATCACGGACAGCCTCCCCCTACTCCCCACCTTGGCACTGCAGAGCCAGAGGTGCTCTTGGAGACCCAGGCAGATTGGAAGGTCTGCTCTGCTTCGGGGGGCTCTTGCCCTGGCTCTGTGCTAGGAAACCCAGAAGTTTACTCAATAGCCTGTCAATTAGAACTATTCTCTCAAAGCTATCTGAGTAGTAACAAGGCCCCCAAAATGCCTGGGAGATGGGTGGGAGGGGAAATATAGTATCCAAACCCATCAAGGCAGAACCCCAGCCAGTGGTATCTTTTTCTTTGTTGATTTTTTGTGTATTATCTTGAAGCCCTGAAAATCATCCCCAGGGTATAGTTCTTGGTCTTGAAAGAAAGCAAAAGTAGAAATGCCCTCCTTGCCCACAGAACCTCAGGTCCAGAGAAGATCAAGTCAGGGCAGTGACATGATCAGAAAGGGCCACATCAGCCATGGTAGATGAACAGAGCAGCTTTCCCTTCCTTTCCCACTGTCAGAGCCTGCCCAGTGCCAAAGTGACATCAAAAGCTCAGCACGGACTGGCTGACTAATTCTTCCTTGGCTATTTTAAAATAGTCCTAAGGGTGATCTCTCAACTCTACACTGGCCTCTGAGCTCTCTGCCAGGCAGGGCTCTGGAAAAGAGTCAGTGACATCCCAAGGAAGAGAACAGGTTCCCCAGATCAGCTTCACACTGCAACCAAGGAGAGAGGAGGAATTGGTGGGAGACTGACCTAAGGAATAAGGTGTGGAAACAGTGGTCTCTTAGCTTAGTGCCAGGTGCTTCTCTTTCACCATCCCATAAGTGGGCCAGGTGAAGACAATGTGCCAGGGATAGAGTTTAACAATCAGGCTGCTACCCTAACCTCCCAATGTTTGGGCATAAATTGGCATACGTGTGTGTGTGTGTGTGTGTGTGTGTGTGTGTGTGTGTGTGTGTGTGTGTGTGTGTGTGTTGGGGAGGAGTGGGGAGTATTGGAAACAAGGTAGTCCAGATGCTGTTGCCATGGTAATAATAATATCTGTCCAAAGAAGAGGCTGAGATTCCTTTTTCTTCAATTCTGTCCACATGACTTGACTACCCAGCAGGCTTGGAGTCTCATATCCCAGCGACTGCAGGGCCCCTTTCCAGCACTTGAATGTGGTATAAGTGCTGATTTCATGTAGGAAAGACAAGATTATAGGCAGGGCTTTGTCTGACCAGATAAGGCCAGAAGCAAAAGTCTTTGTCTCTGGTACCTCCTGATGATTGTTGTTTTACTCCTAGAACCCACCCACTGATCCCCATCCATCCCCAGTACCAGTCACGGCTGCTCTAGCATCTTGGCCTTCTCAACTGCTATAGGCCCTGATCAAGGACGCCTCTGTTCATGGGGTGAGGTTAAGGGGTGGGTTCTGGGAGGAGGGTAAGACTTTAGTGCAGATTAGAGACTTAGGGAGATGGGGCCAGTTTTTCACTCAATGAGCCTGCCTGTTGTTTAGCTCTATTGTATAGGGTTCTTCTATCTCTCCCTTTGTCAGCTGGATTCAAGGGACAGGCTGGGAATTGTGCAAGGCACAATTGCTCTCTTTCTACCATCCCTTTCGATGAAAGCCCTTCCTCTCCTCCCTTTGATGAGTTCCCAAATTCACACTGAATTTCCATCATGGAGCTGGTCCTTGAGGCATGCCCAGGGCATGGGAAAGGAGGGAGGGCTTGGGAGCTCTTGGCTCCTGCTTAAACAGACAGCATCAGGATCAACATAGTCCCTTGGATGGACGTGGATCTGGATAAGAGTCAGAACGATCCTGTTGATCTCTGTCAGACTCCTGTGAAGAGCATTGCCAAGAAGGGCTTGAAAGTCTATCACAGATTGATCAGACTAGTTTTGAGAGTCTGTAGATAAATCTAGCCAACACTGAATATTTCCCTTTTGCTTACATTTTGCCCACAGGACTTGGTTATACACATTTTGACACTAGATTATAGGTAGTTTTTGTCTTTGATTCACAGACATAACTTTATTTTCCCCAATAAGACTGAGGTTTTTGAAGAAAGGGACTGGGTCTTATAATTCCCTTTTGGTTCTCATAGCGTATAAATTACTGCCAACGTACTTGATAATTGTACTGAATCCACATACGCAGAAATGAAAGGAAAACACTTGGGAGTGTCATTATTTTGCTCTATGACCTCTCCTCAAAGTCAGGTGGTTTAATCCAACCTGGGTAATATTACTATATTAGCATTGGGTAATATTACTATATAGTTTTTTTATGCCAACGCTACCACGTTGCAGTCTGTACTTAGCCTGGAAATGGGAGAATGTCTCCTGAGAGAGCTAAGGAACTTCTCTAAAATCCCTCACAGCTTTTCTGAATCAAACCTATACCATTTCAACGATGGATTCTGAAATTGAGAGCCTGTGGCTTTAGGCTATTTTTCACACATTCCCAAGGACATTTTTTGGGCTGTGAAAAATCAAAGTGAACCCAATGGACCTTTCTCAGAATGTTTTGATTGTCAACTACTTAGATGAAGACACAATTTCTTGCATGTTCTGAGTTTTTCCTAGTTGTAATCCAAAATTTGATTTTTTGCTTGGACAGACTGAGATTCTTCACTTCTGCTGAACTTAGATGCCCCCAGAACAAACATTTCATTTCCATTGTGAAGAGTTGGACATCTGATGCTTATCCTGATATTGTTGAACTGTTTATAGCTCAAGAGTGATAAATTCATTCAGGGCCATTTATTTCCAACTCCATATTAGAGACTCATTAAAGCCTATGTCCTTCTTGTCCCTTGCTTTGAGTGGCAGTGGAGCAGAAAAGGGGGAGCTAAGTTATTTGAGCTCAAAGAAAATAGAGGAAAAATGGATGGAAAAAGAAAGAGTATCAGTTCGTGATTCAGAGTTGCTCCCAAGGCTTAGCCCTTTATCCGCCAGTAAGAACACTACATATGACTCTCTGGTTATTTGGATGATGATCAAGGGATCAGACACGCTAAAGAGGATTTTTCCTCATCTTTACAACCCTGGAGGGAGCATCAGCTAAAAATTAGAGTGGAATTTTTTGTTTGGTCAGCAAGAGTTCAAGTTCCTCCATCCCTGATCACACCTGCACCACCATTTAGCCCTTCCCAAGGTGAAAAAGCTGGGGTGAGGGGGCACAGGACGGTCACTTGCTAGGGTGTATGGCACTCTTTACTCTGGGCTAAACAAACAGTTCTGCCATTGTTCCCTGGGTCTGACCCCCTCCCCACCCCCAGGCCTGTGGGCCCCTGCAGAATACCAATGAGGCTCCCGAGATCTCAGGGAAAAACAAGGCTTCTTTGTCCAAGGGAGCTATGGAGGGCTCTGTCCAAGCCCTGACCCTGTGCTGGGGAGAGAGGGAACAGTGGGGTCACTGACCTTACCCTCCCCCCACCCCCAGGCTTCAGAGACCTTCTTTACTAGAAGAGTCTAAGAGTTTGGGGGTGGGGAAGAGTTGGATAGGCGGGGAAGGAAAATGGCAGCACTGTTTATTTCCAAGCTCCTTTTCTTGACTTACAGGATACATCTAGTATCTTAACCTGTTGAGAAAGAGGAAGATCAATTTTTGAGAACAACGATCAATGTCAACCGCTGTGTTTTTCTCTCTGGTATACACATCCGTGCATGTGCACATTTGTGTGAATGCATGTGTGTGTGTGTGCATGTATGCGTCTACATGCACGCACGCGCGCGAGCACACACACACACACACACACATCCCATGGGCCAGCTCTGATGAGGCACTCTTACCAACCACTATTGCAAAGTTCATACTAAGTAAACTCTGCTTCCACTTACAACAGAACAGCTACAAATTGATTGCTTCCCATAGAGGCCACGTTCTCTGACAGCAGTGCTTTAGTTCTTGGAAGAGGAAGGAAATTCAGTTCTCCTGCAAATGTTAGTGACTTTCTTTGCTTGGCTTGGACTTCTGAGCCTCACCTCTGGTGTGGCAACAAGAATCTCTGAGGACCAAGGAAGGGCTATCATTTTAGGGGACAGTGGGTAATAGGACTCACTTGTTCTGTGGCTCTGAGAACAGAGACAAATGTCTTTACCTCAACTTTCCCATGATAGAGATAATTTGGTCCTTCAAAATCTGTTCTTATTGATGAAATTCAGCCATGCAAATCACCAGATGTTCAAGCACTTGGGATAAAAAAAACCTGTACTAATATTAAGAAGGTCAGACAAAGGACTCCCCTAGTGCCTGGTACCCTGGTATAAACAGGTGAGCTTTGGATAAAAGTCCAAACCTAAAGATTAATACAATTTATTTTCTTTTTATAAGGAGCCCCAATGTGCTTTTCCAAAACAGCAGCTGCTCAGTGCATTTGCTGATTATTTGTGTGTGTGTGTGTATATACAAATAATTCATATACACATATAATATATATAAATACAAAAATAATTCGTATATCATATCTATATATAGTATGATATATGAATAGATGTATAAAATCAGTTATATGTATATATGTATGTGTATTCTTTTCTGAAGAGCTTAACATTTTCATTTCTTCCACATTTTGGGGATCTGGCCAAGAGGCCAGAGGGAGCCATCCTCTCCCCAACTAGTCAGTCATCTACTTGAAATTTGTTAGGTTTCACTCCATGCAGCACCTTAGAGTGTGGGGCTGGTACTTGGGGCACAGCTGCTCTCAGAGCCTGTGACTTCTTGTGTGCCTTTCCTGTTTCTCAGCAGCTTTGGCGTGGGGCCTCAAGACTAATATCTCTGGCCAGCACACATTCCTTCCTGGAAGTCTAAGTGCATTTTCCCTATGTAACCACTTACTTGGCTGCCTGGAATTGTTAGTTGAAAATACTAGGTCTGCCTTGCTCATTCTTCCCATATGGCAGAGTCTATGTCTTTTATGTCTTTACATCCCACATAACACCTAGCACAATGCTGGACACATAGTAAGTACTCCATGACAGTTGATAAATGACTAACACAGACAAATCAGAATGATAAGAAAGGAGAGAATGATTACATAATCTCTCTAGCTTGCTACTTGAATTACTGATAATTTTAAAAAAACATAAATTCTGGGAATTTAAGGTAAAGATTTATTTTCAAGAATGGAACAAAGAATGCTTTTGGGGTCAATCTCACATTCCAGAAGCCTAAAGCTCTAGTCTCTCCTGCTTTTGAACTCAGCAGTGACCGCTCTATCCGTGCATGCGAGCACAGGATCTGACTGGTCTGGCAGAGAGGTATGAGTGGCACAAACTACCTATTGTAGTTCCCTGACTGTTTCCCCTCCTTCTTCCTCAGGCTTGTTAGAGTGCTGTGCAAGATGTCTTGTAGGGGCCCCCTTTGCTTCCCTGGTGGCCACTGGATTGTGTTTCTTTGGGGTGGCACTGTTCTGTGGCTGTGGACATGAAGCACTCACTGGCACAGAAAAGCTAATTGAGACCTATTTCTCCAAAAACTACCAGGACTATGAGTATCTCATCAATGTGTAAGTACCTGTCGTCTCATACAAACCCCTCTCTTTCCCTCTCTCCATCCTGAAGATACAGAACTCATCAGTACCTTAGTGACTAGTAGGAGATTGGTGTGGAGCCAGATAGGATTCCTGAGTCTTCCCTCTGTGTGCAGATTGCACCTATGCCACATCTGAAGCCCTAAATGAAGGAAAAGTGCCAAATTCAGAAAGGGGAGGTTTTCCTGCCTGCCAGCCCACTCTCATCACTCCCCCTCACCCCCCACTGCCCTTGCTTTGTCCCACAGGTTCTAACTTCTGCTTGGTAGGGTTAACAATGATCGAGTTGAAGCCCCTGTGGTGGTAGGTATGGAGAACTCAGGGGAGGCACAATGATGGGACAGAGTGGAGTTGCTGCACTTGGTTTGACACACTGCTTGAGTCTGCTCAGGCAGTACTAAGCCTGTCCTCCTAGAGCAAGTTAAACTCCCATTCCTTCATCTCTCCTCTTTCTTGTCTAGCTTCTCTCTCCTCTCTCTTCTTAGGGAGCGTCTCTGAAGGGTCAGGCCAAGGAGAGTAGGGCCCTGGTTCTTCAAGTCACAGAGTAAGCAAGGTGTGGGTGGAAGAGCATGTGCTGCTGGCCATGTGCTCCCTGTCGTCCTTTACTTCAATAAAGATAAGGTGGAAGCATGGAGGTGGAACCTAGTGATGCCTTTCAGGAATCCTTAGCCTTGTTTAGGTGCCCACTCAAGTGTCTACCTTACTTATGCAGGAAAGGAACTGGGCCCTCAATTAGTAAGATTCTCTGGTCTGTTTTGTCTATCTGTTAATGCAGGATCCATGCCTTCCAGTATGTCATCTATGGAACTGCCTCTTTCTTCTTCCTTTATGGGGCCCTCCTGCTGGCTGAGGGCTTCTACACCACCGGCGCAGTCAGGCAGATCTTTGGCGACTACAAGACCACCATCTGCGGCAAGGGCCTGAGCGCAACGGTAACAGGGGGCCAGAAGGGGAGGGGTTCCAGAGGCCAACATCAAGCTCATTCTTTGGAGCGGGTGTGTCATTGTTTGGGAAAATGGCTAGGACATCCCGACAAGGTGATCATCCTCAGGATTTTGTGGCAATAACAAGGGGTGGGGGACAAATGGGCGTGAGTCTGTGGCCTCACCTCCACTCAAGGCTGGGTCCTCTCTAGGGGCCTGGCTTTTGAGTGAGGAAGTGATGGCTACAGCAGAACGAGAAGGTCAGGAAGAACGTGGTGCCCAGCTGGCTTAGCCTCACCTTTCAAAAGTTCCCTAGAAAATTTCATCTCAAAGTTAAAAGCATGAGTTTTATGAGATTCTTTGTATAATCAGACCATTTCTAAGTCATCTGTTGGTATGCCTTTATTCCCCTCCTAGCAAGGACCACAAGAGTAGCTCTGATTGCCCAAGAGTCTAAAATGCTTCTCCTGGAGTTGAGACACAGGTACCTGATCTGAGAGGGAGGGTGGATCATGGAAATTAAATAATTGACTCCAAGGTGGAATTCACAATTTTCTGGGATTCTACACTGTTAGAGATCCCGGAGAGAACTAGTGTAAATCTGCATATTTAATGCTTCATCTTTGTCTGAGGGATATCCATGCCTCTAGTGAGGCACACACTGGTTTTCAGTCTCCAGAGTTAAAGATCTTTGGGGGCTGAACATTTGTGGGTTGTGATGATGTCTTTTGTGGCCAGCAGTTGGCTTAGAAAGGTTTTTGGATGTGAAATTGAAATGTCCTATTGGCTTTGTTCAATGACTAGAGATCAAAAGTCCTGTGACAGGGAACATTTTCTAAGCTCAGCCTAAGGCAAGAAATGGCACGACTTTCTTTCAAGATCTGTTTTGATTTCTTCACATCTTATCTGCCCAAAAAATCTCCTGAAGCCTCTCTAACCCAGGGATCCTCCTCACTCCAACCCCTACCCATTCCCCCCACCCTCTGTCACACTTGGGGCCAGTTCTCTAGTAGATACTGCCAATGACATTTGGCAAATATGCCCTGCTTACTAATTTCATTTGGTGGAAATTCCTGGAATCTGGTTTCATGTCTGGCACATGTCACTCCAGGATCTCCCAGTTTGTGTTTCAATGTCTGCAGGCTGATCCTGATTTCTAACCACCCCGTGTCAATTGTTTTAGTTTGTGGGCATCACCTATGCCCTGACCATTGTGTGGCTCCTGGTTTTTGCCTGCTCTGCTGTGCCTGTGTACATTTACTTCAACACGTGGACCACCTGCCAGTCTATTGCCTTCCCCAGCAAGACCTCTGCCAGTATAGGCAGTCTCTGTGCTGATGCCAGAATGTATGGTGAGTTAGGGCATGGGTGCCTTGGCTCCCCTACCCCCTATGGAAGCACTGTATATTTGGTTCTTTACTTAGGGTAAGGAGGGTGGTAATTATGGGAAAAAATATTATGGATGCCTGGATCTTAGTTTGTTAATCCCTCTCCACTGAAACCGGAGAGATTTCTTCCCTTGGAAGGGAACTTCTTGGAAGTGGTGGGAGTTTTCTTGGCCATTAACACTGCTCTACCCTAGTTGACTGCTGTTCCCAGCCCAGAAGCAGCACATTTCAATAACAAACACTAGATTTCACAACTGTTCAATACCACCTTCTATTTTTGATAAATCTTCAGAAAAGAAGATCCTGATTGTTAGTAGGATCCAACTTTTCAGCCAGAACGATTAAAGATGGAAGAAAGGCACTGAAGGAAATTCTCCGTGTAGCCCCACAGCTCTGTGAAGCTCACCCTTGTTGACTTGTGTGTCTTACTTAGGTGTTCTCCCATGGAATGCTTTCCCTGGCAAGGTGTGTGGCTCCAACCTTCTGTCCATCTGCAAAACAGCTGAGGTGAGTGGGCCATTTGGATTACTTTACAAAGGAATGGCTAGTACTATACAAATTCCTACCCATGGCCTTCAATTTTAAGGACAACAGTTTCTCTTTGCTGGATTTTGAGTTAGCAGATTGCCTTCCATAAAATACTGGCTGAGTATGCCTGAGCCAATGAACATAGATGGTAAAATATCTATTTTCCCTAGAGCTGCATAGAAAGCCTTCCATTCCAAGACTTCTTCCCTTAAAAGAGAAATTTGTAGATTTAGGTAAAGATAGAGCTTAATGGAGAAATTCCCCAAATGAAAATTTTCATTCTTTTAGTTAAAAACGTTATCAAGAAAATGAGTTGTGCATAGAGACATTCATAGATTTTACAAAATACTTTCACTTTGGAATTTCTAAATCTCTAATGAGAAATAAAAAAAAAAGTACATGTGAAAAAGGAAAATACTGTATTGAGAATGGATATTATACACAAATGAGGCAAGGGAATAAAAATAAATCCTAAGGAAGAAGGCAGTAAATTATTTTTTTGAAAGCAAAATATTGACTTTATATTTGGGCATCCTGGGCACAACTGTAGGGAACCAATTGATTAAAACATTTTATGAGTATTTTATGAGTATTCCTTGCTCTGGGTGCTATAGGGATAGATGCTATGGTGTACATTGAAGAGTTGGAGGCCTACAATCAGGGAAGCAACAACTTAGAGATGAAGAATTAACACACAGAAAGATATCAACGCATTCAGAAAGCTGCATTCACGATCTACAGTAGAACATATTTTTGCTGTTGCAAGAAACAGTTCTCCCTTTTGCATTTTCTTGCAGTTCCAAATGACCTTCCACCTGTTTATTGCTGCGTTTGTGGGGGCTGCAGCCACACTGGTTTCCCTGGTGAGTTGTCTTTGAATGATCTTGGCAAATAAATGGTCCTGGGATAGCTTGGGTACAGCTATGCTGAAAGGCAAAAATATAGACTCTTTCTAACCTTGAAATGCTAGAGAGAAGCTACTGGGAAGAGACAGTAAAGTGTAGAGACTGTGCCCTTCTACTTTGGGTTGGCAAGGTAGAAAAACTTCAGAAATTAGATAGGAACAAGAAAAGTGGTATGAAGAAAGAGGAGGTAAGATATTAATAGTCAATAATAATAATATTTGGCATTTACAGAGCATGTAATATTGCCAAGGACTTTGCAGTCATAAATTATGGTTAATTCTCAACACATCTTTGTCAGATGGGTGATAAGAACACTGAAACATTACTAAACATGATTTTCCAAAGCCTGGAATTCTATATACTGTAAATATGAATCCATCTTGGACACTCTCCAAGAGATTTAGTTACTCTTCCAAAAATCCTGGAAGGACCTCCTAACATTTAGAATTGTTACTACTATAATGCAATTCTATGTCCCAGGTCCTGCTGATGGTGTTACAGTGCAGTGTCAATGTAGTGCATTCATTGTTCAGATTAAAAACCTAGGGCACTGAAGGATAAAACTATTTATCTGTAGTCATTTGAATAAATGGTGAATGTTTAAGGATAAGCTCGCAAAAATCCTAGCCCCTACTGCTGAAGCTTTTATACGGAGTTGAGTTGTTTCTCATTTTGTAAAATAAATTGATGCATTAATCAGGGGAGGGCTGTGATGCACACAGTGGCTGTGTGTCTGCAGCAAGTACCCTATGACTTCAGGTCATTCAAACCTGTGGCTATGTTGATGGCAGAGCCCACGTCTTGTTCACTTCCCTGAGGAAAATTCAGTACTAGGCTGAGCATAAGTGTGGAATAAATCTTTGCCGAGTTCATTCTCTGGGCCTGGGCCATCGGAAGGAAACGTCTCAGAGAGGACTTCTTGTCAAGTGTGTGAAGTAAAAGCCTGGGACGTGCTGCTTTCTGCAGAGTAGGGGTTTTCCGTTTATGTAGCTATGACCTTATTTCTACCCTTCCTCATTCCCAAAAGGATTGGAGGAGGGAGAGCTTCCTTTTCTACTGTCACTCATATTCTCTCTTCTGTTCCCTACAGCTCACCTTCATGATTGCTGCCACTTACAACTTTGCCGTCCTTAAACTCATGGGCCGAGGCACCAAGTTCTGATCTCCTGTAGAATTTTCCTTTTCTCTAATAGCGAGGCTCTAACTTACACAGCCTACAACTCTGCGTCTCCTGTGTTAACTCTTTGCCTTTGCCACTGACTGGCCTTCTTCTTACTTGATGAGTGTAACAAGAAAGGAGAGTCTTGCGGTGATTAACGTCTCTCTGTGGACTCTCCCCTCTTACATACCTCTTTTAGTCATTTTGCTTCACAGCTGGTTCCTGCTAGAAATGGGAAATGCTTAAGATGGTGACTCCTCAACTGCAAGTCACAAAGAAATGGAGGCTCTAATTCAATTTTCAAGCATCTCCTGAGGACCAGAAAGTGTTTTCTTCTCAAAGGGCTCTTCCACTGGTGGAAACAAAGTGGAGAGAAAAATGCTCAGGTAGAGAGAAGGGATGTACCCGGCCCCCTTGCCATCTATAGGGTAGGGGCCAAATATATTCTTCTTAGTGTACAAAGCAGAGAACTCACTCCTGTCTCCCTATTACCACTGAAGATAGAAGAAAAAAAGAATGCCAGCAATACGATAAGAGCATTTGCCCAAATCTACCTATTGCAGCTGGGAGAAGGGGGTCAAAGCAAGGATCTTTCACCCATAGAAAGAGAGCACTGACCCTCATGGCGATGGACTATTTAAGCCCTAACTCAGCCAGCCTTACTTATAGCATAAGGGAGCGTAGTGTCTGTGTAGACAAAAGGGGCACCTGGCCTTAACACCTTGTTAGGGAAGAGAAACAGGGTGTTGTCAGCATCTTCTCACTCCCTTCTCCTTGATAACAGCTACCATGACAACCCTGTGGTTTCCAAGGAGCTGAGAATAGAGAGAAACTAGCTCGTATGAAAAAAGACTGGCCTAAGGAACAGCAGTTGCTAGTGGATAATGGTGTAAACTGAGCTAGCCCTCTGGTCAACACAGGATAGATAACTCTTCGGATAGCATGTCTTTTTTCTGTTAATTAGTTGTGTACTCTGGCCTCTGTTGTATCTTCACAATGGTGCTTTTTTCATGGGGTGTTATCCATTCAGTCATAGTAGGCGATTTGAAGATCTTGATTTGTTTCAGAATGATGTACATTTCACATTTTCCAGTTTGTTTATCACTTGTTTGGGGTTGTGCCAGAAAGGTCTGGAGAATGATTTTTCGACTATGATCCTTTAAAAAATGAAAATTGAACATTTAACATCAGGAATGATATTTAAAATTGGCTAGTTCCGTGCATCTACTGGGATTTTCTACAAATTATTCTGCCCTTTGCAGAAACAGATTTGGTGAATTCGAACCTGAATTTGAATAACCTATTTGATTGTTCTTTCTAGCTAGTGGGAGATGATTTGATTTAGCAATATTACCTGTGTGAGTTAAAGAGTCGGGTTTAACATACCGGTTATTCTCTCCTGGTATAGACCACGTAACCGAATGCACTAGCTGTCAGCTATTCAGTTGGTAAGCTTCCATGGAAAAAGAAAGGTGGAAAGACTTTGAAACCTGAATAGCTCCCAAGTTTTAGTCTTCTCTTTCTGTGTTTGTTAACTTTGGGTTAAAAAATAAAAGGCTGATTGGTCTTTATTGAAGAAAAATTTTTACGGGTATGACTATAGGTGGCTCTTTCGTTGTAAAGAGTTGTTTTGTATTTTCCCCCAAAGTGGTTTCAGCAATGTTTAAGGAGATGTAAGATCTTTAAAAAAGACACAATATTTGTTTTCAGACCGGTATACAAGATAAGCTTCCAGGCTGCATAGAGGGAGGAGATGGAAAAGGTTCTGTAAGAAACCAATCAAGATCAAGGAAAGTGAAGTAATCCCTACCTTGTGTTTTGTTTTGATTTAATAACATAACAAATAACCAACCCTGCCCTGAAAACCTCCCATGCATACATACACACATATACACACACAAAGAGAGTTAATCAACTGAAAGTGTTTCCTTCATTTCTGATATAGAATTTCAATTTTAACACACATAAAGGATAAACTTTTAGAAGCTTATCTTACAAAATGTATTTTATAAAATTAAAGAAAATAAAATTAAGAATGTTCTCAATCAAACGTTGTGTCTTTTGAGTAAATTGTTCTGTTTAACTCCACCAGAGAAACTCGAATAATTATACTTTTATTGTGCTTTGTTCAAGGAGCTCGTTTATTTTTCAGATCATCCAAGTCATTCTCACAACAATTCTCTGAAATAGAGAGTAGATAAATCACTTCTATTTTAACTGGAGACACCAAGAAATACAGGCAAAGTAAATCACCCAAAGAAACCCAAAAAGTACATATCTGAGCTTGGACTAGAACTCAAGTATTGATACCTATTCATTGCCTGTTTTAAGATTTCTTTTCTCTAAGAAGTTGGGTTTCAGAGCATTCTGCTAATTCAGAGTCAGATATGGTTACTTCTACACAATAATGGTGCCTCAGGCCTGATGTGTTTAGGATTAAGTTATTGTTACCTTTTCTTTGAACTGTTTGGATATTCCAATAATGAACCCTTAGTGCTTCATACATGAATGATACTTAGATTCATCTAGAAGTACTTGATGAAAGGTTTAATGTAAGGGCAGAACAGATATGGTAAGGGCAATGTAAATTTAAATAGGCTGTGGCAGGGCAGTATTAAAATAAATTAGTGACATCTACTCCCCTGGATGGCCAGCCCACTAGCCCACTTGGGACACAGCATTAAATCCCTGTCACAACACTAGGCTAGAATTTGAACTCTTGGACAGCACTCTAATGACCAGCCTAAAGAAAGCTGACTTAAATTATCTGTAGATTCATTGTCCCGTAGTTGCAGCTGGCAAGGAGCGTGACTGGAGAGAAAAGAGACTTGAGCTGGGGGCAACAATTCAGTCACTAGTTAAGGAGCTCCATTCAAAAGTAGCTTAAATTTAATCTTCTGATTTCTGCTTCAGCACAATTAATATTCCTCAAGCAAGTCTGATTGGATGACTTTAAGACAGAAAAAAGCAAAAATATGACAAGGACTTATTTTTAGACACTGGCAAACAAGGACATAGCACCATATTTTGGAGAATTGATTCAGGGTGCTATAGAGTGAATGTATTTTTGCCTCAGAGGAGCGGAAAGCCAGTTCCCAAGAAAGCTGTGTTCTCCATCTGCCCTTATTTGGCTCTGCCCTCTGGGACCAATCTATAGATGGAGTTTCCAGGCTCTCAGAAGCTGAGAGCATCTCCAGTCTATCAATTGAACCCATTGTTCTTAGCTCTCCCACACACCATAAACCTCCTTTCTCTGAACTGAAAGAGCTCTCTTTGTGCTTAGATCAGCCAAAGATCAAGATGCAGCAGTAGACACAAGAAACATTTTCTTACAGCATCAGATGTATTGCTTTTCTTACCTTCAGGGTCAGTACTGAGTGCCGTTATGTAGAGTGTGGAAGCTGCAGCTTTGTCCAGAGCCACATTTGTTCATTCATTAATTCAGTAGGCAAACATTTATTGAGTACCTACTAAGCTTTGCTAAACCCTGGAAGTTTCAAGTTTGGGGGTGATGTGGGTAGAAAGGTGATAAAGATATGATCTGACACTCAAGGATCTCACTCAGCCTCAACCATAGCAGAGAGGTCTCCTAGGGTGGACCAGAGTGGAGGCAGGGAGCATGCAAGAAGCAATCTGATTGGCTGACTGCAATGGGCATCTGAATTCTCCCTTCAGTATGTGGGAGAGGTGGTGGTTAAGGGCCATGACCTCACGTGGCTCTGGTTTTCTAGGGCCCTGATAAAAACAAAACTTCAATTTAAAGTCCTGACAACTTGTGACTTGCTCTCTCTGTGTCATCCTGCTTCTGGCCTTACACGTGACAGTATTTATGCACACACTGTCACAATGCAGGTGCGTGCTTCCACCCACTCAGTAATCTGGGGAGTCAGAGGGCACATGGATTAGGATTTATATAAACACAAGCTATTCAGCATGGCTTTTTCTTTCCATCCGGGCTAAATCTTAGAAGCCATGGAAAGGTAATATAAGATACGAGGTACTTCTCTCTTTGAATTTCCTTACTGTGAGCACAGATAGCATGTCTATTTTGACATTAACAGTTAGCTTGATAAATATTAAGTAACAAATGGAAGAAATATCCATTCTTACATAAACAAAATCAGTATTTGGCCTTTTCTTACATCAATAAGCAAGTTAAGGATTCAAGTCAATATCTATAAATTGGAAAAGATTTTCCTTGTTCACTCACTTGCTTTGAAACAAGCAACCACGCTCTTCAAAATTATTGTTGTCCTGCAAAGTTAGGTGTCTATGTGTTCCTGCTCTGGTGCTCCTTGAGTTGATCTACTTTATTCCAAAGGAAAGAAAAATAAGATAAGGTAATGAGTATTTTCCAGATTATGAAATAACCAAAGGAAATCCAACCTTAACATTTTATTCAAACCTTCAACAAATATTTATTTAACAAATTCTCTGTGCCAAGTGTTATGCTAAGTGCCGGTCATACAGCAGTGACTAAAACAGACACAATCTCCTCCCTCCTAGAGCTCAACTAAAGACCAACAGGCTTAGGGAGGGAGATAGGAACGTGTTGAAGAACGAGACTACATCTTTTACAGAAAAGGTGGAAAAGACAGAATCAGGGAGAACCTTGCCCAGTCCCATGAGAAACAAGGAGCGAAGTAAAAGAAGATGAGGCATGAAAGTCTGTTTGTAGAGAAAGAGGCCTGACATGCTATGGTATTTAGGATTGAAACATGTTAAATGACCCTGTACTGTTTTGCTCACCAATGTGGACAGTAAGCCAGCTCTGGTCTCTGAAGGAATTAGCTTCATTAATATTCTATTTATTATGTGAAGCTCTACCTTTTCTACGTGAAAAGGGAAACCACAAAGCTGGATTCTGAAAGTTCCAATATGAAAACCAAACAGGCCAGTCGATATTTGAAAATTTATAGATGGCTCTAATTCTATTTGATGCTTGAGCTCACGTGTAGAGCCACTTAAAAAAAGAAGGGAAATGTGGCCCTTGCAATCAAAGCTCTCTTCCATGCCCCGAGATGTACCAGATATGAATTTGGTGAAATCTCATTTGATTTAAAATCTGAAATCAGCCCACATTAACAAAAAAAAATGTGAACAGAAACATAAGCATTCTCCCATATGCAGATGATGTTATTATCACAAGCTAGGAGTGGTCTTAGGAAACAAATGGCTGAGCTAATTATTGCTATAAAGAAAGCCTACATATCGATTTTCCTTAAAACAAATTTGTCATTATCAGTAGATGTTCCCAACTTCTTGTTGGTGAATAGTGTAAATAATTCCATAGAGCAAGTACCCCGGGATATATTCTGCAGCTAGTTTATCTGGGCGGACACACGAGTAAATTACATTTCTCCAAGTCAGGTTCTTTATGTGTGCTAACTGAGTTTGTGTGTGTGTTGTTGTTTATTTGTTTGTTTTTAGTAGCTGAGGTGGTTACAGCCACTTAAAAATATTTCCAGGTTAAAAAAATTTTTAAATGTCATGCTTTGTGACATGGGGCTGTGG